TCTGCCCTTGCCCCCTCTTTGCCACCCCATGTATAAAATCCTGGACACGCCCCTGCTAAAGGACCCTCAGACTGTGAGAAACGGTATTATCTGGTCTGGTGAACCTCAATTCCAAACATCATGTTTGAAGGAAACCAATTCTGCTCATCACCTGCAGAGTACCATCCCAAAAGTAAATACTTATGCAATATACTTATTTCAGTTTTTTTTATTTTTAATACATTTACGAAGTAACGTATTACGAAGTACAATTCTGTTTTTGCTTTGTCAGTATGGTGTATGGAGTGTAGATTGATGTGGAAAAACGTAATTTAAAGCAGATATATATATCTGCATTAAGAAACCCAAATAGTTCACATCTAATCTTGTATATCCAAATAGTAAAAAAGTTGTAGTTCTCACACCTTTTTATCTGATTCTCCATCAGGAAAAACATTCCAAATGGAACAGATAAAGGCAGAGGACTTGAATCTTTGAACCTGGCTGATTCAGAAGGTAACAATCTGTTTTATATTCCAGTTTCAATTGAGGTTTCAGTTCACAGTCTACTTTTAGTCGTTTCCGTGCTCATAGCAGTGAACCTCATGAGAACTAAATAAAATTGGCAAACTGTGAGTCATAATAGAGTTTTAAACCATGTTCTGCAGGTCAGGTTCAGCCCTGAGGTTGAATTAGCACTTGTCTGAAAGCTGTTGAGGAGACTAAGAACCTGTTAGACAGAGGAAAACAACAGTCATCCCCTTCTGTTCTGTTCTAGACGTGCCACTGTCACTGCCATGCACTGCTGAATAATTCATCACAGCAGAGGGTGTGTTTTTGTTGCTGTCAAAGGAGACAGACGTCGGCACAACAAAACATGGACTCTAAGTGTGTCACGAGCATGGCAAAGTGTCAAAAGTGCATTACTGAACATTTTTGTGTATCTTTGTACAACATAATGAACATTACACAAAACATTGTTTTGTATTTAGTTACCATCAATGTCTTGTTCCGTAGTCTATTTTAGTATACAGTACAGCTCCATGTTTTATATCATATAAATATACAGTATATTTTGTATTAACAGTTTAATGAAGGTTCACTGCTTTTCTATTCAGCTAAGTGCAAAATTGTAATTTCACACGTGCCCACTAGAGGTCACCACTTATATAAGATTTTATTGAACAAATGACTACAGCAACATTCCAGCCTTCCAAAAAGAGAAAAATCATATTCAGAAATTGATTAGAGACAACAAATATATTAAATATATGATGTTATAATACATTTTAAAATATTTAATCTGTCTGTCTATCTATCTATCTATCTATCTATCTATCTGTCTGTCTGTCTGTCTGTCTAATTATCTATCTATCTATCTGTCTGGCTGTCTGGCTGTCTGTCTATGGCTGTAGGTAAGATGATGGGTGAGATCAAGGTTGCTCTAAAGAAGGAAATGAAGACTGAAGGAGAGCAGCTGGTTCTTGAGATCCTGCAGTGCAGAAACATCACCTACAAGTTCAAATCTCCAGACCACCTACCTGGTAATGAAACATTCCTCAAACACATCCTCAGAAATGACACTGATATACAAATATTGTAGTCAAGATAAGTGAAATGTCCACTGAGAAAGATGCTGATAGAGTACTGAAGAATCAGTAATATTTCAACTGTCTTTCTAGACTTGTATGTAAAGCTTTATGTGGTGAATGTGGCAACTCAAAAGAAGATCATAAAGAAGAAGACCAGAGTGTGTCGCCACGACAGAGAGCCATCATTCAATGAGACATTTCGTTTGAACCTGAATCCTGTTGGCCACTCTATTCAGGTGAGAGAGACTATAAACTGAGGCAAATTCAAAATGACAGCAATATGGCTGAACAATAGGTATCATTTTATACCCAGTAGCAAATAAGTAGTTTCTGCACATTAAGGCTGCATTTATTTGATTTAAAAAAAATACAGTAAAAACATGAATATTGTGAAATATTATTACAATTTAAAATAACTTTTTTCCTTTTTAATACATAATTTTTTCATGTATTTAATATATTTATTTACTTTTTAAAATATTTATATATAATTAAATGTAATTTATTCCTGTGATGGCAAAGCTAAATATTCAGCAGCCATTACTTCAGTCTTCAGTGTTACATGATTCTTCAGAAATCTTCTAATATGCTGATTTGGAAAAAAAAAATTCTTATTATCAGTGTTGAAAACAGTCATGCTGATTCATGTTTTTGCGAAAACCATGATACATTCTTTTCAAGATTCTTTGACGAATAGAAAGCATTTATTTGAATTATAAATCTTTTTTGTAGCAATGTAAAAACCTTTACTGTCACTACATGAAAATGATTTGTAATATATATGAATATAAATAATCTTACTGACCCAAAACTTTTAAATGATAGTGTATGTATTATATTATTTAATTTACTTCCTCTCACTCTTTGTTTAACCTGTCTCCCGTCTTTTATCCCCTTCCTCTTCACAGCTGTTCCTAGTGTCAAATGGAGGGAAGTTTATGAAGAAGACCCTGATTGGCGAGGCCTACATCTGGCTGGACAAAGTGGACATGCGTAAGCGGGCCGTCAGCTGGCACAAGCTAGTGGCCACAACCAGTCAAACGCAGCCGTAATCACAAGCCGTCCATCTCCCATCGGTGCCCTCCAAAAAAGAGAAATAAAACAGGAAAAGGTGGGTTTGTGAATCTGGAATGACTGATAGATCATGGAAAGAGAAAATTGAGGTTGCATTAAATACTGTGACGAAGTGTTTGAGTCCATTCACCAGGATAGATAAGTGTATTTCCACTCCCAAAGCGCTGCTGTTGTCAGCTATTGCGGGAGTCATTTCTGCAACTGCATTCTACATCTAAAATATCTTAGGCATGGGCCAATTGTTACTACCAACTATTACATTTCAATGTCATTTCATCTTTTATCACACATCCGAAATCATATATATTTCATGCAAAAAACATTGTTTGCAAGAAGATAGATGTAGCATATAGTTGACACAATCATGTGATATATAATGACCATATCAGACTATGTTATGCACTCTATGGAGGTTATACTGTAAGGAAGAAAGACAATCGTAAATATAATGGATTCCCTTTATTGAATGCAACATCCAATCGCACAGTTCAAGATTCCTCTGTTTATAATGTTTTGAGTGTCGTCTTCAATGTTTAGGGAACGTTGAAACTTCAGGTTGTGACTGACATCAGCTATTGGACATGGATCCGTCAATGAAGTCGAGATGATCTGGGTATCACACATTCCTCTTGATCATTTCAAGAATGGCCGTTTGCTGGACGCTAAATGAAGGTGTGCTTTGTTTTTAGCGTCTCAATCCCTCAAATTTGGCTCTCTGAGGTTACGATCATCCAGAAGTATGATTGTACGTGTCCACGATGTGTGTTTGTTTTATGAACAGCATCTTGAAGTAAATGTCATGTTAGTGGTCAGATGTTGTCATCAATAGTCTGTTTTGTGACCAAGTTGTATGTGGAATCCAAATATGCAATGACAAAAAAAGATTAATAATAATAATGATAATACTTAACGTACATTTGAGTCCTCCTTGGCGTTTATATAAGGGTTCTGGCTCAATTGGCTTGATTGAAATCCTGATGTAACGTTTGTTTACTTTAATGGTGCAAGGTGTCTGTCCTGCATCTATGGTGGTGCACTTTTAATATTGTTTTTCTGCTGTAAAGTTCATATGTTCATGTCAGTTTAGTTCTTTTTCATTATGATCACTGCCTCTTTAACCTGCACCATATCAGTGTGTAACGACACTAGTATGTGCCATCGATGGATAAAGGCACATGTGTTTTGTCTGTCTAGGATCTCAACACCAGACAGTAATTTTCTAACTTAGCAGTCAGTGTTTCCATTATCAATATCAGTGGACATATTTCACACATGGAAACAGACTGTTATAATAAAATGTACTCTAACGTTTTAATATGATTTAATCTGCATCTTGCACAAGTGGTGCACAGATGTACCTGAATATAAGGTTACTGTCATAGTAAGATGAACTATCGTGTGCCAACCTGATGTTTTAACCAAATCCACTGGTTCTGTTTGGGTAAATCTATGCAACATGGATTATGTTCTTTGAATGCATAAATCTTAACATGCGACATTAAAGCGAGTGTCTGAATATATGTATATCTGTTAAGGAAAAAAAAAAACAGAAATTCATTATATGAATATTGTATAATGTTTATTTTATTTATTTATTTTGTACTTCGTCTTTATGGCACAGTACATTTTAATCATATGCACTTTACATTATTGTTTTCATAGGTTTCAACATTTTATCGTAAATAATGACAAAATAAATATGCTGACCAGAAATGATTTTATTTTATTTTTTTCTGTGCAGATTTGAAACGTAAAAATGCATATTTTATGTTGTGCATAATTATGATGGCCAATTAAAACCTGTAACAAGTGTCATCAGTTTTATTTAGATCATCACACCTTTCAAAGTGTGATTTTTTTTTTTTCAGTTGTTCCCTTTAAACAAGCACATTAATTTCATCTGTTAAACTACTAAATACAAACTTTTATTCTAATATTACCCCATTCCTTTTAAAATCAAGATGCGTTTGATGAATTCAGTTGCTGTAAACTGTGTGAATGTGATTTGGTTATTTTTTTGATTTTGTAAATACATAGGATATTTTCTATGAGAAGAGGTCTGAATATTTATTTGGCCTGACGTTGAGCATGTGATTGTGATCAAGGTCAAACTCTGTCTACATATTGTATTTGTCGAAATGTGTAAGAAAGTAATATCTGGATCAGTTTAAAATCATGTGTTCGATCAATCCATTCCAACCTGTTTGACGAAATCAACAACATCTCTCAGAATGAAAACCAAAGTGTTAAAAAAAAAAAAAGGAAAAAGACGACACAAAATTTCCTGTGAAATTGAATGGTTGTCAAAGAGTTTCTATGTTTTTACATAGATGTTGCATGTTTTGTTAGATGTGTGTTGATATATTTTGCCTCCGGATTCAGTTTAAAAAGAAAGAAAAATTGAACACATCATCTGAAGTTGTATGCGGACTGTAAAAATGCTTGTAAAATGAGTCTTGTTTTTCACTTCGTGTAAAAAAAAAAAAGTAGAAAAAAATCTAATGTTATGGTTTTGTGGTTGTCCACAGGATGTCATGAAATTATGCAAATTGTGCAGTAGAGAAAAAAAAAAAAGAAAACTAAGAAATAAAAACGTTCTCCCTGCGTCTAGATAATAAATAATAGATTCTATTTCAAATGTGAACATGCATTTTGTTCGTTTTGATTCTTGTATCTTGTCAACTGTTACGTGTGAAATGTTATATTTTCCGATCTTATTCGATGGTTGGTTGTTGAATTAACTGATATGTTGCAGAGTGCTGTATCAGCCCTATTTTAGGGCCACAGACCATAGTCAGGTTAGATGCCATATTGAATCTAATGCGGATGTAAACGAGACTGTGAGGGATCAACTTAGAGTCTTTACAATGGCACTCACTATATAAAGGTTCTAGATCACTCAATTTTCAATTTTCAACTCGCAGCTGTTTTAATGAAGTTTTTGTCTACTGAAGTTTTTTTCTTTTGCACTGATATTTTCATTTGAATTTTGCATATATAGCCCAAGTTATTGTTAGTGTAATGTCTGAACCCATAAAAAAACCCTGGTCAGTAATGTTTTTTTTCTGAAAGAAATCATTTTTAAAAAATGATATTAAATATTTTTTTAACTTAAAAATATATTCTATATTCTATTTATCAAAGAATCCAGACAAAAAAAAATAAAATGCACCGAATCGGCATAGAATGATTTCTGAAGAATCATGTGACACTAAAGACTGGAGTAATGGCTGCTGAAAATTAAGATTTGCCATCACAGGAATAAATTACATTTTTACTTATAATAATAATAATTCACAATATGATTATTATTTTTTTTTTTGTAATAACTGTATTTTGCAGTAGGGGCCTATAACAAGGAGATTATCGAGAATGGCTTAGGATTACTAAAGAGTTCTTAATTGTCGTAAAAAATATATATATATTTCCGTGTCTTTTCCATTATGAGGTGATATGTGTGTGAGTGAATGAAATGGTTTTGCTGATCCACTGTCTTGTATTTACGGTGTTTGGCCAGCAGAGGGAGATCTAAGTATTCTAATAATTACACAGGAAGAACCTCAGAGACTAGCCATATGCATGAGTATTCAAAAGAAGTTCAACAACTTGATTATCTCAGCTGTTCTATTCTGTTTGTTGTTTCGGTTTATGAAACGAAATAATCAGTGTTTTGAAATACATGGATTGGACTGACCCTCTAAATCAGGGGTGCCCAAACTCGGTCCTGGAGAGCCGGTGTCCTGAAGAGTTTAGCTCCAACCCCAATCAAACACACCTGAACCAGCTAATCAAGCTCTTACTAGGCATACTAGAAACTTGAAGGCAGGTGTGTTGAGGCAAGTTGGAGCTAAACTCTGCAGGACACCGGCCCTCCAGGACCGAGTTTGGACACCACTGCTCTAAATGATCAATGTTTGAATTGCAACACACATGCACATATTTGCTAAGTAAAAGAGGAATTGAGGGAGAACGAGGGAGTCTGACTCATACGTGCCTCATTATCCTCTCTGTCAGGGGGGCTAAATTAATTAAAGAACACAAGGCAGCGTTACCAGAACGATAAGTCCTGCCACCACACAAAGAAACTACCGCTCACCAGTGTAGCCTCAGGTTTGTTTCAAAGCAGGAGCAACAAGAACCATAGACTCGAAACAAGAGCATCCATTCTCTCTCTGGGTAAGGTGAGGCTGGGCATGTTGCCATGGAGATGCAGCCTCCTGGGGTAGGAGGACCCAGGGGGACGATGTAGCTTGGATAGCAGGATGTGCTAGCGAGTGTGTGATACTCATCGTCCTCAGTTCAGCAGACCGTGATAAATTCTAGTTTTCGATCCGTCTAATCAGCCGGCATTACTCGTTAATACTGTGCAAATGAGAACGCTTTACCTGAAAATTAGCTCGATAGCTGAAAGCAGGACTGCTTTGACAAACGTCTAATATCTGAAGTTAATTAGCTTCCTCAAAACTCTCCCAAGAGGCAATGCTGTGTTTGTTTCAGGCCTAATCAACGCATAGTTTAGAGTTACCGAAACCAGGCTGTTATAAATACATAAATGCACAAAATATAACTTCATGCCGCGGACCACCAAATTATGATCATTCTCATGTGAAGGTCCCCCATCCTATAATTTAAAAGGCAATTATATGTTTTCATGTAAAGACCCAATTTATACTGTGAAAAAAAATATAATAATATAAATGTGTAAGATATTAGGCTATTTGTAAAATATTTAGTTTCTTTTGTGTTACATAATTTTGCTTTGCTATGTACTACAGTAGGCTACACTGAAGAAAAAAACTGATCCCGTTTTTACTCAGAAATTGCTAGTAAATTCACAAATATTAAAACTATATATATTTACAGTGTACTGTAGCCTACTGTTCATTTCATTTAAATAACATTTTATTTTGTATCAATTTAATTATTTATTTAAATATCTATTTTTTTATTTGAATCAATTTTATTTATCTCAAATTGTATTTTTATTTTAATCAAATATTTGTATTTGTATTATTTATTTTATTATTATTCTCATTGTGAATTTAAATCAAAATAATTTTATATTTAAATCTATTAAATCCATAATATTTTTAAATCTATTTATTTTAATCTTATTAATTAAAAAGTGAATCACTGAGTTGGAAAAAGGATCACCCCCTCCTAAAAATGACTTATAAACTCAATCAGTTGTAGCTAATCATCTTCTCAATGGCACAAAAAGCCATTTGACTTTCAACTGTGATCAGCCGTGCTCAATTTGATCAGCTCAGCATGAAAAGAGCTTTCCTGGAGCATTTCAGTCCTTGGTAGTGCAACTGAAGC